GCACATATTCTTGCCGTAATCACTATAATTATGTTCTTAGTAGTTCCATTTATGGAACGAACAGATGGCTCAAAGGATGTTAAACAATAACTAATTTGGCATAATCCTCATTAAAGCCAACCCACAAAAAAATGAAAAAAAGAACATGACCTAATTAAGATAGTTCTACAAGCACCCGATAATTTGGGTTTCATTCCACATTAGATAGTTAAAAAAATGTAGGTATAGTAATAAAAAAAATGATTGGCAAACACTTAAAGACATCAATTTTAGGCTGAAAATAGATTTGACCTCTAGTGTATCTAATTCAACCTTAGTCTGCCTTCAGTTATCTTCCCAAACAACAGGACATGCCTTGCTCATCACATAGAAAATCGAGACATCAAAGCTACTAAAAAATGACATAGACCTACTACTACAGCAGAAAAAAAAAAAACACATAAAACCTTCCATTTTGGATAAAAATGTGTTCCAAAAGATGTATGAGGCATATAGACAAGGCATTATAGCATGCTTGTATAAATGAAACATTATGCAATTCAGATTTCTTTTTTTTTCAACTTCATTTGATTCATCAAAGATAAATTAGAATTAAAACTAAAAAATGGTGACAAATGAGGAAGTACTAACCAAAATAACAAATTCAGATAAGTTAGCTTTGATTCATGAATTCAAAAGCATTCCACGTTTCACAAAGAGATTAAAAATGAAATAGTAGCAAAAACAAGAGAAATGTTATAGTAGCACAAATAAGACCTTCAAAACATAGTTTGCTGAAATAGGAATACAAATGACCAGGTGCGGTTTACACATTAATTCAACTACTCCTCTGCTTCAGAGCCTGAGCTACCGCTCTTTTTGTTGTGCTTCCTAGCGTACCTCTGGTTCCTTAAGAACTTCGGATCCATCTGTAGAAATGAAATTGAAATCATCCTGGTTAAAATCACATAACCAGTAAAGAATTACAGAAAAGCTTTCCCAAGACAAATATAATTGAAAAAGATAATCCATTTAGCGAAATTATAAACCAAAACTACTGAAAAATGGGGAAAAAAAAAGATGAAGGGCGATTCCTCCATACCCCTCTAGTGGAGGTTTGCCTGTGTCTCTTAGGCTTCTTTATGCCGTTCTTGTGAGCCTTGTGTGATTGGTTGTGAGCCGTGTGATTCTTCGACTTCGCCATTCTACGTCCAAAAAGAAGCAAATCAAGTTATCATGCGATCGGAAGGAGAAACTTCACCAATCTAACTAAGCATAGAGAAAGAATAAGAGAATGAGGAGAAAGAAACCGAACCCGACGCAGCGGCGGAGGATCAAAAGCGGGTTGATTTGGATGCCAATCCGCCGAACAAATCAGAAGTAGGGTTTTATTTGGCGACGGGAAACCCTAGTTTGCTCTTTTACCATAATGCCACTGCGCCGGGCCGGTTGATAGTCTGAAATTGGGCCGCTCAGCACAATCATATGGGCCACGACTGATGCATCCGGCAACCAGGAATGCAAAATAAGGATTTATGTAAATACTTGTTTACATGTCTAAAATATTTGTCCCCGTCATGTTAAAGTCCACATAATATGTACCCAGAGCTTACTTAGTGCACATAAAAAATGTGTCAGTATTATTCACAAATACATCTCATCGATGAAAAGAAGGTGATGTGGCCTTGTGGGGCCTACTCAGGAAGACTTGGGACCACATGCTCAGTTGACCAGCTACACATATCGGGATGATGACGAGCCTCAAACAGATAAAAAGAAAATCACTCCTGAAAAATTCATTTGATCGGAACCACTCAGATGAGCCTATTGCTTTATAAACCAAGTAGACTGGGAAAGAAGCAGATCCTCCAGTTTAAGAATGGTTGATGCGAACCCTCTGCAAGTTGTTGCCCGATTTGATCGTCGCACTAGGCCACGACCACCCGTCTTGATGACCGACCTTTCTGACGGCCACCCTGCTAGACGGCCTCTTGGCCTAAGGGTCGCATGAAGAAATCCATGGGCTACAGGCTATTTTTATGTATGGACTGAAATGTCTTCGTCGTACCTACTTATGTTAGGGGTACAATATGTAATTATACAATGACATTTTCCTATAAATATCGTGTCCATATCATAAATAAAAGTTACACAAATTTATTGTTTATTATCGCGCTAATGAACCCCCATTCCCTTTATTTTTCTCATTATTTAGCGCTCTATTCCTTAGGCGTATCTCCCTGACATATTTAGATTCAATACTTGATTGCATTTATAAAAAAATTATGTAAGGGTGTTACAATGGTCAAGTGTTTTACTATTATTTTGATGCATTTAAGTCATTGTTTCATTGTTTGTAGTCATCAAGTGTTTTACTATTATGTTGATGCATTTAAGTCATTGTTTCATTGTTTGTAGTCATCATAAGCGAAGTAATTTGTATCATTGAGCCATCAACTAACTTCAAAGATTTTATCAACCTAAATTACTTTGAGTGATATATAATAGTTGATATCAATTTAGCAAATCCCCACAATTTTATTTTTAATTTTATGCAACATATTCTTATACTTCTCCACAACTCTTTACTGGTTTCTCATCTCTTTTTTTACCCTTTTTTTTAAGCTTCTGTGGAAATCTATATGTATTAGGCCATGAACTCAAATTCATGTGATTGATGATAAAGCATCTAACCACTAAATCAAGCAGGTTGTATTCTTGTTTGTCACCTTTAAATTTTGAATGATGTCGATTAAACATGATAAAATGAAATTTTGAGTTTCTCCACTAAATCTAGTGCTTTTATGCTTTTATTGTTCGGAAGAATAATTGCTTCAAAGAATATAATGTTTTTTTAGAGAACAATGATTAAGGTTTATAATATTTTTATTATTATGAAAGAATATTTGTAATATTGATTTTTTAATTATTTTATGAAGTTCAATTATTTCATTATTTATGTTTTCTTCAACTACTTCTTTATTCTTTCATAAATAAATTTATAGTGCATTAAACTATTTGTGATATCATTTAGTGTATATAGTTTTAGATTGTATGAAGATCTCACATGTATACATACAAGATAAATTGAGAGTTCATAAAGCACATGGGGTTTTTTACTATGAAAAATCTTGAATAAAAAAAAAATACTAGGGGGCCTATCCCAAAGCAAAACAAATTTATCACTATAAGTCATTGACGATAAATAATGCACACCTCTACAATTAAGGATAGCTATAACTTAATGTTATGGATTTGAATTATGAAAAATGACGTTCTAATAGAAGTCGGAGGAAACTTAAGATTTTTGTGTTATCATTAAATATTATTGGTACCCTAATTGACACTTCTCTTTATACAAGAGAAAAAGGAAGCATTAGTTGATTATGCAAAAAAGTATAATAATTTTTTTGAATTGTGGGCTACTGACTTGTTAGAAGTGATAACCCTAAACAATGGTGCAAATTAACACAATTCAACTTTGGTGAGGGCACCAATGTTGATCAATGTCAACGTGATAATCTTATTTGTATGATTGAACATTGACCTTATTGTCAATAATAAATGATAATATTGTTAGCATAAATTAATGCCAATAACAAGTGATTGTCATAATAGCATTAATCATTGGCCAACATTTGTGTTTGCATCGATTTCGAGTGATGACCTTATTAGCATCAATGAACAATGTTGTTTTTTATTAAACGGATTTACTTTGGTTATATTGTAAACAAAAGAAAATCAAAATAAGAGGACAACATTGTGCAATCACCCAAGACAAGGAGATTTGGGGTATGCTTGATTAGTAGAAAATGATAAAGCTTGATATAATAGTAGACAAGACATCTCACAATACATCACAAACTAAGGATGAATAAAACTGAGGAAAGAATGAGAAGTAGAAGTGTAGCCCACTCCGACTTCTTTACTTTGGTTATATTGTTAGAGCCCATCTATACCCAAGTCAAAATATTTTTAGGTATCATTTAATTTGTTGAAAAAAGAACGCAAAGTAAAAAAGAATGTAGTATGATTGAGATCTATTATATATATGAAAAAACTTTGATTATTATATTTGAAGAAAATGAACTTAATGTAATATTCGATGACGGGCGTCAAACGACTGCTAGCGAACGATAATGAACTGCAGAGAACCAATGAATGCAATGACAACTGTCATGTGACAATGATGTTAGTTATTCTGTATATTTAGAAATCGGTCCAATTAATTTTAAACACATGCAAATTAAACTAATGGGATGAGTATTAAATTCATCAAAAATTTACATTGCATACTACTTTGATCCACCAAAATAATAAAATGGACTGAATTTCATTTACATTAAACTATTCCCGAAGGCAACCAAACAGCCCTTTATGTCGTTGTAATTTTCTTGATAATATGATCTTTTTTTTTTTTTTGCTTCAAGCTTTCGACATACATAGTTCGTTTTTATCTTACAATAAAAATTTATCAACATTTGTTGAATCTCATGAAATTCTTAGAAACATATTACTTTACATTCTAATCTCATTCATTCAAATAATTATCAAATGTATCAACTATCAGCTTATGATTATCGATACTTTGTCATTGTTAAAT